TTGAGAAGTCCAGCTGTCTTATTTGACAGCTGTTAAGTTAAACATAGCCTTAACTTCCTCCTTTATTGCCAACTTAGTTTTTGCTGTGCGACCAAGTTTAGAGCAAAACCATGCAATGATCGTGTTCCTCCTGGCACATCGCCACACGAAGCGGCTTACACAATCTCGAGTAATGCGCTTAGCTATAATATTGCACTTGTGGACATCGAGGCCCATGCTAACGACAAGCGAGTGAAGTTTGGATGCCAGAGCTAATTTACTGGAAAGTGTAGAAAAAATGAAAAAAATATTTAGCAGCTCATGCGATGAATAAATTGAAAAATGTGGTTGATGGGGTTTAACCCACGAAAAAGACTCGATTAGAATGGTCTCTGCCCCCCAAAAATCGTGTGGATCACTGTCATAGTATCCGTATAGCCGAGCCTTGTAGTGTCATCCTTGCGTACAAGCTTGATCGATAGATTATCGACAATCCGCCTGGTTGCGTCACGTTCAATACTACAGGATGTTAACAAACGCGGAGAATTCGTTCGAACTATTCGATGACAAAGTGTTGCTGGATCTTTTTGTAAAAATTTGTCAACACAGGTTGGTGAAAAGCCAAAATTAAATCGTCGACTTGATCCGCACTGACAAGTAGTACAGCTATTTGATAAACTTCGAGCCGATCTAAAGTTTCAAATTGGTGCAGAGGATGTACAGTGAATGATAGTATTAGCTTCCACCTACAAGAGTTTGGTCTTTGAGAAATGGACACAAAATCGTAATCTTCCAAAAGATAAGCCTGAACTTTTGCTAATACTAGTACGCATCATTCAAGGTGCTTGAAAGTCCACTGGTTTTGTCTGCTTCATTACGTAGACTGGTATTGGACTTTTGCGAAAGATCAAAGTCTAGATCGATACATCAATTTTGTTCGCTCGCTACGCAAATTCAAAACGAACAAAGAAGGATGAATAAGATGCTTAGATCACAAAACTCTATGTTTTTTTGCTTGAAATCGGCGATGGGGTCCACGTAAAAGCAATACAGAATGCTTGGGCATCTGAAAAGTGGATGAGGATACCATCACTTATGGTTCACAACTCGAACAAAATCCAAAAACAGTTAGAAGCTCAATCATTTATAAACATGAACGAGCTGACGTGGTCCCTTCATTACGTCAATATCCACAAGAACGATTTTCAATCTCACGACCTCAAGATATTACAATTCTTAGTGTCCCGAGTCGCATTTGTTAAACTGGTGAAGCTGTTGATATCTGTTGAATTTCTAGATGCGCTTGTCGGGCGCCGCAGATACGATGCACAAAGTATCACAACAACACAGAGTAAATGTTGCAGTGATAATATATTACCTTCTA